AAGTAGAAATTAGAATTAAAATGACAGGAATGTAGATTTTGGAAATAAAAGTAGAAATTAGAATTAAAATGACAGGAATGTAGATTTTGGAAATAAAAGTAGAAATTAGAATTAAAATGACAGGAATGTAGATTTTAGAAATACAAGTAGAAATTAGAATTAAAATGACAGGAATGTAGATTTTAGAAATACAAGTAGAAATTAGAATTAAAATGACAGGAATGTAGATTTTAGAAATACAAGTAGAAATTAGAATTAAAATGACAGGAATGTAGATTTTAGAAATACAAGTAGAAATTAGAATTAAAATGACAGGAATGTAGATTTTAGAAATACAAGTAGAAATTAGAATTAAAATGACAGGAATGTAGATTTTAGAAATACAATTATAAAATTTGAATGACAGGAATGTCGATTGTATAAATAAAATTATAAAATTAGAATTAAATAATTTAATTAATAAAAATGTACAAATTAGAACTAAGATTAGTAAATTAGAAATTAAAATGATAAAATGTAGAAATTAGAAATAAAATTAGAAAACTGTATATTTTAAAATAACAAAAAATATAGTATTCGTATTAAATTTGTTATTAATAATTACATTTTTTATATAAAGTATATTTTGAAGGTATGACAGAAAGCTGTAAACCATGTTTTTGCTGCAGACTGCAGACGAGTCCTCTGACCACTGACCTTCTTCTCCAGCTCCATCAGCAGGGTGTTCTCCACCATCTCCAGCAGCGGGTGCTTACAGCTGGAGTACAGCATGCGCTCGCGGATCCCACAGCTGTAGCCCGGCATGGAATAAATGAACACTGACACAGCACCAGCGTTACTTTAGCTCTCACACACTACCACAGACTCTATTCATCTCTGCTGTGTTTTCAGCTTTTACTTTTATATCAGGATCTTTTCCTTTTAAGTTTAAAAGCTTTAGTCATTTTATTTTGTGGTTTTTGTCTTTTTTATAGTTTCATTATAATTTTTTAATGAGAAATGCTGGCTTGTCAACCAGGACTTAAAATACAAAAACTTAAAATAAAAAAAGCTTTAACAGAAATAAAATTATATATTTATATATATCATTCAGCAGCATTTCTCAGTTTTACTTAGTTTAACTTGATTTACTAAAATAACTAAAACTGAAATAAAAATGAGTGATTAAAATCACTAATAAAAACATCAAAAACACAAAACTAAGTTCCTAACACGTTCAAATTAAACAGAAAAAATATTATAAATATAAAAATATTACGATAGAATTTTTAAAAATATATTTCTATATTTTATGTTTAATTGCAAGCAATGAAATAAAGCAGTAACCCCCGTAAAGCTGTGGTTTACAGTGAATTTATAACAGCTATGTGGCGTTGTTAGAGTGTCTAAAACCCTCTTAGCTGTTATAAATTCACTGCAAACCACAGCTTCACGGGGGTTACTGCTTTTATAAAACGGTTACTCCATATACGTAGTAAGGTTTCACAAAATAAAGCAGAGCAAATAAAGTGTAATGATATTAATAAACACAGTATTCTTCCACCAAACAATGTAGCTCCTCAGAAACAGTTGTGGTTGCTACAAAGTGGTTGCCGAGCAACACACAAACCTAAACAAAGGTGTGTGTTACTTTGTAGCGTCATTTACAACAGCTTCGAACCCGGCTCAGCCAATCAGAATCAAGCACCGTGTTTTTTTTAATGCTTTTAGCGTAGTTTTAGTTAACTGTAATGTGGATTAGAAGGGAATCATCTCCTCTCACAGTGGACGAGTGCCGTCTGTACCTGCAGACTCCAGGTAGTCGCCCTCGTGCGAGTGTTTGTAGCGGAAGAAGTGATAGCGCGCCGCGTCTTTGGGGATCCGCTTGGGCAGATCCTTCATCTCCGTGGCGTCCGTGTTCGACAGCACGATCAGCTCCTTCTCAAAATTGATGCTCTTTGGAAATAAAACAACAGATATCAACCAAAAACTGTTTTGTTTTGTTTCTCTCTGTCGTCGATTGGCTGCTGCATCGTGGGACGTGTGCGTCTCTCACCAGCTGAACGTAGTTGAGCGTTTTGTCCTTGAACTGTTGTAGCGCAGCGACGGCCTCTCCGTCCAGAGGGAACGCCACACCCTGAAGAGTCTGCTTCGTAGTGTTCACGTGAATGTCTGTCTGAACCTGCGCGCGCACAGAG